GAAAGATGTAACAAACTATAGAGTCTACCAATTTCTGATTTACGAGCCAAGTTTCAATCATGTAAAAAACTGCATTACAGATAATCAACATGGGTTTATTAAGGGACAATCAACATCAACAAACCTCTTTTGCATCGTAAGGTGTCCTGCAAGGTTGTGTATTAGGACCCTTGTTCTTTAACATATATATTAACTACAGTCAATGTTGACGTGGCAACCTCCTTTATGCTAATGACGCAAAACTTTGCAAAAGTATTAATTATTTGGGTGATTATTTTACTTTGTATCAGCCTGCACTTTGCAATATAAACATTTCAACATTTGGTGTAATGGTAACAACTTTTGGCTTTATGTAAATAGATGCAGGATTGTAAACTTTTCCTTAAATCAAAATATGTAATATTATTTTTAACGACTTAGTCGTTTCAGTATTATCCAGACGTAATTTGGTTCGTATCTTGTTATATTTGAATTTAAACCAACTTTTGACGTCCATATCAAAACGTGACTCAAAATTTTAAGTAACATAATGAGAAATTCTCAAGATCGGATTTTTAAGATGATCGAGATTCTTGCTTAATTAAGACCTGATTATGCTCGTATTATCTGGTGTCCACATTTTGATAATATATTGATGACTTGGAGAAACTGTAGGAAGAATGGTGTCTATTCAGCTGTTGATGTATCACATTTTGATCTCTTTTATTACCTTTAATTTAATTTCCTTGAAAACCATGGAAATATGTCCAAGTTAATATTTTTAATTTTACACAGACGAGTTGCAAGACAAATTTTTACATTTCTGAGACACTTAAATAAAAATTTCCTGGTACAAATAAAACTTCCAACATAATGTGTGCCGTCTTCAAATTGTTAAATTACGCTCCTCCCGGATGTCACCAACTTACACATCTCATCCAGTGATACAGTATGCAGGTCGCAAATGAGGTCTTAACAGAGTTAACACCCGATCTGGGTTAAATTTCTATTTATTCTCTATTATCATGCAAAACGCATAACGGAAAGAAATAGGCAAATAACTCTGCGGACGAGTTTCTGTACTTTCGTCACAGTTAAGACAATCACCTGTACGGTTTGATTATGGAAATAAAACAATGTCCAATAATGGCCAACATGAGTGAAAGCCATAGTCCGCACTTTGAATAGTGATAATCAATTATCGTTTACGTTTTATGCATTCGTGTTCGCCTGGAATTTTTAATGACAAAGGTGATCATTAAGAGTGAAACTGATTACACGGTTTTTGTTTCGTCTCGTTACACTTTGTGAAAGCATATGCCTGGAAAGTTTGTTTTCTGCGGAGAATTAAGCAAACATAATGTGCATTACCACATGTTATTAAAAGAGTTGTTGCTTGCATTTATATAAAAATCAGTATCTATTACTGGTATGACTTTATAAACTTTACAAAGTAAATGATACGAAAACATATGAAAAATAAATACCACAAAACCTGAACATAAAAAAAATCGACGAATTAATACAAAAACGTTTTTATTTTATTTTGGTATGGGTCATTTGAAAACTATCTTATCCCTTTCACCTACAGCAAATCCAGGCTCTTCTATCGAAAGATTTCGCGCGATTTTCTCACTGAATTCGAGAAAAGATTAATCAAAATACTGAGTTTTTGACACAGACCTTGTTTACAGTCGAAGCCAATTTTTCAAGAGAATCGATAATAACCATTTATCGTCAATTAGAGTTCTTGGAGATTTAATTATTAGTTAACATTTTCTGACAACTGTCAAAAAGAATGATTAGATCTACCCCTTGCAACAGAAGGGAAATATCAAGAAATTATCTAGTAAATAGCTTTTCGATAGTAGGAAAAGTGTAGTGAATCGCATTTTTGTAACTTTCTCTATAACTAAGAACAAAATAAGTTGTATTATATTATAATGATGTAATTTTGGATTATTATAATATGTAAATATTCCAATAAACTCACTTTTAGGGATATGTAGGTACTGCAAATACTAAGTTCTATTTTTAAATCAAAATAACCAGTTACTCACTGCGACGAATATTTTATCACTAAGATTAAGATTTAATTCCAAGTTGCATTAAAATAAAACGTAACAGCGCGTCATTTAGTTTCTTAATTTTCCCAGAAATAATTTATTTTATGATAATAGCTCTATACAAGTACTTAAAAGAGAATTTAATCAGTTAATATTCTCATTTAGCCATTAAAATCTTTACTCAAACATACAAACAAGCTAAAAAAGATGCAAAATACGCTTCCATTTATTGAATATCTGATTAAATCTTTGATCGTTTTTAATTACAAAAAAAATCTGTCCATCTATTATAGCACTATTGCTTACGTAACTTAGCTTTTGTTAGGTAATCATAGGTTAGGTAAGCTTTCATAAAAAAATCATATTTACATAGCCTCATAAACACCGAACACCTATCTTATTTTTAGAAATAAAAAAATAGTATCGTAACTTTTATAACATGAAGATATTAATATTAATTAACTCACTTGCGCAACTTATAAGTATTCAAGGATATAATTAATTACATCGTTACATTCTGTTATTAAATTCAATATTTACACTTTCATTATTTTTTCCGAGATAACAGGATTAATCTATTAGATTTACGTAAATTACATCCAGTAAAATGAGTCAATTTTTTCTATAAAAGTTGATACCAAGAAATTTCTGTTTGTTATGCGGATTCTGGTTTTACATAGCAGAATCCTTTTTCCAAAACATTTCCATTGAAAAGTTACAAATAATATATTTCTGGATCGCACTTGTATTATCCTACGTATTAATATGGTTTACCTATAGCAATACTTTAATTCTTGTGATCAAAGCCTAATATAATATTTTTTTAGAGAAAGTGAGAAAAAGCATTAGGGATTATATTTATTAAATTGCTACGTACTACCTTCATTGTCTTCGAAAAATTAAAATTCATACAAGAATAAGAATTTTTTTATTAATAATGCGTTTTGAATACGTTTTAATTTATTAGCACATGACATATGTACAATAACGGATTTGCATAATCAAAAAGTAAAATTTTTTATGTATTTTATTATGAATTGCTATATTCTCGGAATATTCGGAATATAGCGTAGTAATATTTTCATTGACCTTGAACATTATCTTTTATTTAGTGTTAAAGGTTAAGGTTAAACTATCATGGTTTCTTTTTGTGGTTCAATTATTTATTTTAATTTTTCAAATAAGTACTGCTTCGTTTTTGTTTTTACTTTGATCATATCTACTGTTATAAATAAAATGTTTTTTATGACGACTTTCAGACAACCAATTAGTTAAAACTGAATTTATGGAACAATATTTTCCATCACTATAAAAGCTGCTATAAACTGTAGCAAAATAAAATTTAAGAACGTTTCTAACTTTATAGATATGATCTCAACAGTAAGTCCGGTAACTTCCCTACAATTTAAAATTAACCAACCTTAGAGTAATACCGGAAAAAGAAATACAATCACCTTTCCTGTAGAGGAACTAAATAGACGTTTCAGCGGTGATTTCATAAAAAATAACACGCCTAGCAGATGGCATTATTATTATAAAAAGCAACGCTAAACCGGGAAATTATAAAATAAAAGAAACGTTTAAAACTGTGGTTACAGCAATATTTTATAATAGAAATAGTGTCCACTTTTTCTATTTCAGATTTAGAAATAGGATATTTCTAAAAAAAAGAAATTAGGGAAATTTTTTCTAATATTGCGATAATATTGGAAAATTTTAATGTACCCTATGTTTAACCTATGATTTTTATTATTAACTATCCTTTAAATTAATTGGAGAATCCCTGCTTTTTATATATAGGGTGATTCAGACATAATGTCATTAATTTTAAGGGAAGATAAAGAGAAATTAGAAGAATACAAATAAGCGACAAAAAAATTTTAAAATGCATATTTACGCTGAAAAAAATATATTTTAACACATTAATTTAATTTAAATATTAACAAGTATTATTTATTTGTTAACAAAATCAAATGTATAAATATAATAATTGTTTTCAAATGTTAGGTTATTCCAATTTACTATTTTTAATACTGTTAACGTTTTCACTATGTTTTATAATTTATTGAATATGAGTTTTTAAAGTATTATGTTCAATTCATTATTCAGTTTACAGTATGTATAACTAGTGACTTATTGCGTTTCAAAGAATAGTATGGTACCTACCCATCAGAATACCAGTACGGCTATCCACTGTAATTTGATATTCCACAGTGGGAAACATTGGAAAAAATTCTCGCCACTCGCCAATTTTCATCGTCTCGTCGTGATTTTTTTAAAATAATCTCGTAATCTGAATTTTTATAATTCCGGTGAGATTTTTTCGAAAACCCCTTTTTTTAATGCTTAGGGAGCGCCCCTTATTATGACCCTTGATGATATCTGATGTTTTTTCTTCAAAAACCTAACTCCAAATATATCATCAAGGGTCATAATAATCAATTTTATTAATAGCAGATACTTTTTACATTTTTTTCTACAACTGAACATCGAGTATTTAAAAATTTTTTCTTCGGCATTGAGGTTGGGGCGCTCCCTAAGAATTAAAAAAAAGGGTTTTTCAAAAAAACCTCACCGGAATATGAAAATTCAGATTACCACGAGATTATTAAAAAAAAAATCAGACGAAGAAAATTGGCGAGTGGCGAGAATTTTTTCCAATATTTCCCACTGTGCGACTGAGGAAATCAGCTGTTTCGCTTCAATGTTCGAACACTCTGTAGTCCGCCGGTGCGTTTCTGATCAGAAAATGTTATGCAAAATAGTGCACCGTATTAGGGGCAGTTAAGGGGAAATTTGCTTATCTTTTAAAAAGTTCAATAAATTTTAAATGTTTTATTTTTTTATTTTTTTGTCTTTATTAATTCTTCCGAATAAGTGATTAAAATTAATGCCATTATGACTGAATCACTTTGTATATTGGGATAGTTTACTTATACCAAACTGATCACTCACCTGCAATTGATCGCTCGGAACGATTTTGCTGAGTCCTATAAAAGAGTTCTTGTCCACCGCTAGCCAAATCCCAATGGCCAAAACAGTAGAGCCAGCTAACTGAAAAAGAAAGGCAAGCTGAATAAAACAATGTTTAATAATACACTGGCTTAAAAAAGTTATAAACTAGAATAAATTCAATGAAGCGTGCGGGACAAAATAATTGGTTTTAAAAGTAACTGACCTGATGGGACATTAAAGTAAAAAAAGTGTAAAAGGAATGTAGAGGTGCGTGTATTAGAGTCGCAGAATAGATATAGCTCCTAAACTATAGGTATGTCAAGAAAGATTAAATTTTAAACATTCTTTTATTAAAAATAATATGGTATTTTTGTATTAAACAACAAGCTTTGTAAAACTGCTTTTCTTACGAGACTTCTTTATACTATTTTTTCGCATTTTGTATTTGTAGGTAATTACATATAAGCAAATAGTGGTAGATATAAAAGCTTTACAAAGTTAGAAATTAAAAAATAGGTTCTTGTATAGGATTTCCGTAACCTAGTAATCTGACACGGCTTTGTTTATTTATATAACAACAGTTAAGTTTCATTTTTGTGAGCCGAGTTGATTCTAAGTAATATATTAATTATACAAATGCGACTGAAAAAAATTTAGAACATTGTCCTGAAGACATTTTAAATGCCATTCGAGAAGCATCTTCGAGCATACTTCCTTTCAAGGAAAAATACGAGAAGGTATATAAAAAGGTAAGCCATTTTTTTTATACATATTTTAGTGTTTTCCAAACAATGTATTTCGTTATTTTGGGCAAAATATCTTAAGGCATCCAGTTTATAGTCTACATATTCAATGATATGGTACCAAAAAAGTAAAAAAATACAGGATGTTCCATTTAAGTTAACAAAGTTATAGCTGTTTGAAGTTATCAATATGTAACAGCAAAAATGGAACACCTAGTACTAAATGCTTTAATTTGTTAGTATACCATAATTTAGTGTTACCTATGCCCTTTACAGGTACAAGAAATCCACTTGTTATCACGCTCCTAAAAAGAGTTACTAGCATGTCCGCAGACCCTTACATCTGTCAAATTTTTCCTTTAAAAATTAATATCTCAAAATCTATAATTTCCTAAATATAGGAAATATTTAATAAAGTGACCCTCAAATTTCACGTAGAATCCGAAAATGGAGTAATATAGAGTGTTAAAAAAAGAGTGTAAAATATTTAAGGAGGTAATAGTATGAACCAAAATAAGCAGAAAAGTCTCAATAAACATGGGTCCGCAAAGTAACGGTTGCGGAGATATGGAATGTTTTATGTTTTTTATCCCCTTTTTTTATTTTATACAAAATTTTATATACAAAAACGTTGTGTATTTTCTTATAATAGTTGGTTGATGTTTAGTGAACTAAACAGTACGTATTTGACAGTTGTTCTCAGAGCACAAGTTTTCTTTCGCTATGGCTCGTTACTCTAACGCAGTATTAACAGACATGCATTTCATATACATGAAAAGCATGTCTGCATAGCAAGTCCATACGGTCGTGCTAATGGGAACGCCACCGAAGCGCGACGTCTTTATGTTGACGCTTATCCAAATGCCAGATTCCTTCAGAACGCATGTTTGGAAGAATTCACCAAAGATTGCGTGATACCGGTTCCTTGAGCAAACAGTGCCATTTATCCGGAAGACCAAGGTCTGTATCCACTCCTAGAGCAGAAGAAGAAATTCTAGCACTGGGTAGGAAGGGCCGGACCTGTTTTATGGCCTCCAAGATCGTCTGATCTGAACTCTCTAGATTTCTTTGTTTGTGGATATTTGAAGACATTAGTGTATGGTACTCCTGTAAATAAGCCTGGAAGAGTTGCAGCTACGGATTAATTAAAAATGTCAAGAAATCCAAACCAAGGAGGATGTTTTCGAAAGAGTTCGAATATCGTTGACACGAAGATGTCGTGCCTGCTTGGAAATGGACGGAGGGCACTTTGAACATCTTCTGTAACTTTGTTTTTTATTTGTTAAAAGCTTCCTTTGTCGGTTTATTCCTAATAAAATAAAATGTTTGAAAAACGAATAGTGGTTCATATCTCCGCAACCGTTACTTTGCGGACCCATGTTTATTAAGACTTTTCTGCTTATTTTGGTTCATACTATTACCTCCTGAAATATTTTACACTCTTTTTTTAACACCCTGTATATAGGGTGTTATATTTGAAATAAGAAAGTTAATGTCGGCTTCTGGTATAACCGGAAGTGCTAAAAATAGGAAAGTTCTAAATATTTTAGCTGTGTTGCTCCTACTGCCTTTGATAGGTTGCCAAATTTTCAGATTTATTGGATCAGTACTTTCCGCCATATCGATAGTGGCTATTCCTGGCGGGACACCCTGTATAGTAAAGTGACATTTCATGTGGTAAAGTGCCACTTTAGTAAACGATTTTGAATTTAGTAAAATAGCATATACTTAGTCAAAATGAGAAAAAATATGTTACTTCAAATTAATTAACACACATAAATAAAATCTATTTTTGTTATATATTTTTTTATTAGTGTTTCCAGGAATAACAAAAAGTTGCCAGGAAACTACTACTTATTGTGTCATTGTATCCCAACGCTTTCAACGTTTTCTTTTAACCAAGGACGGTCATGTTTTTCAAATTAAAAACCTTTGAAATTAAAATAAATTTGGGAAATCAGAACATAGTTTTGCATATGAAAGAAAAAGTAAAACACTCGATAATAGAGCACTGCATTGTATTCAAGAAATATTAATCACAAAACTAATTTTAGTAATGGATTAAACATCAGAGTGATATTTATATCAGAAAGTTTTAATATTTGCATGTTACAGTTAAATTTCTCTAATTTTATCTCTCTTTTAATCGAAATATTTACCGTTTTTATTTACTATCTTGATAGTAGTAAATTATTAATGTATCTTATAAATAATTATTAGACAATTAGAACAGTCACATATTCACCAATTTCAGAAAATTTCTTGCGATTTTAAAACAACATCTACATAAAAAGTAAGTATGAAAACAAAACAAAGAGGTATAATTTTACCTGAATAATTCCGTATATTTTTAAAGTTCCACAGACTTGAGGAGAGACAAAACTAATTATCTTCTATACTTAGCATACAGTTTTATCAGGGCTGGCAACATTTCGTACTTAATATACATGCGATTGTAATTAATTAAGAATTATCTTGAGGAAGGCCTCGAAATTCTTCCTCCGACTGTGAATAACAGAAGCGATTAATATGAATATTACATGCAGTCGACCTTGTGTCTGATATTGAGCTAATTAATATTGATCAAATTTATTGCATGGACAACTCTAGTTAACCTTAAGTCTGAAATAACTGCCTAAAAAAAAAAACAGGTTATCAACAAAATATTTTTTAAGTTTTGTTATAATTCCCAAACGTTTATGGTATGTATTTAGTAAAATATAGGCTCTTTTGGGCATTGAGAAATTCTGATAACTATATACACCGTGTTCCAAAATGATTCAACACATGATAATTTCTATTTACTAATTGACCTGTTTCAGCAACTTTGTAAAATTAAGACTGAAAAAAAATATGAATTCTGTTCCATCATTTTGGGACAGTGTATTTTAATTGACAAAAACTGCAGAGAATTAACACTATCCAAGCATATGCAAAATTTATTATACATATTTCCAATTTGAATGGTTATTTGAAGATTTATTTTAGTCAAGGACTACACCATTATAATAGAGGTGTAAATAATTAAGATCGCTTAAATTTTTAGAAGTGACATCACTGTTGTTCTTGTTTACAATACTGATGTTTTTCAAATATTTATTTTTACCTGCATTGGTCTTATAAAGAAGTTCTCGTTTACTTCTAAGTTCTAAGTGAATACAAGGGTTTATGTAGATGAAAATATGTACCTATTTTCGTAATTGCACAGAAAAGTGACAAGAACATATTCTACAGCAGCAACGTGATATTTAATCATGTCGGCAAACATTCTAATTATCTCTTTACTCTTTACTCACTAAAGTCGTGCCTCAGGTAGGTAAACCTTCTGTTACCTACCAACGGACGATAAGAAACTCACGGAGAAATGAGCTGTCCGTCAACGAATTCTGTTGAAAAGTTAGAAAGCAACGATAAACAGGCCAATTATGAAGAAATTACGTAAGTCGCTGGGTGTAATTAGCGGTATGGTCACAAATACATTGCTTCCGTAACAGTTTAGGTTACTGTTTTCACCTTATACATGGCGACTCGTTGAAATTTAAATGTTTTTTTTTATACTCGCATTTACGGTCGAGTGGCTTTATTGCTATTATTTGTAAGTGCACTGAAAGTATTCGCTTTTTTTCAGTAGTATAAGTCAAGTTAATAAATAGCAATTTCTTCTTTCGTGTATCACCTAGATGAGGAGACGATGACGTCATTACCAGAAGTTTCAGAATAGGGTCGTTTCCTTTGGTGAAAATCATCGAATAAAATGTTACAAAATATAAGATATTTATAAAACTAAATTAATAAGTGGCAAAATTACTTCTTTAGTTTTCCATTCATCGGTTCATCGGAATACCACGATAATGAACTATTTCGACAGAGGTAGAGAATTTCTCTGTAATAGAGAATCTTGGAAAAAGTATCAATATTTATTAAATAGAAATCTGCAATTCTGTATTTGTCTTACCCTGTGTTATAGATGACCAAATTGGTTTAGTGTAAAACTACAATATACTAGATTTAATTACAAAGAAACGTGAACCCAAATACTATACTATTAATGAATTGTAAGCTGAAACTGTATATGTATCAAAATCATAGAATCAGGTGAGGATTTGTTTTGATAGACACATAGCACTACTAAATTCAAATGGCAAATTCAAACAATTCTGCTATATAGTTCTGTTATACAATTCCGCTATACAGTTCTGATATACAGTTCTGTTGTATCTGCTATACACTTCTGCTACAGTTTTGCTATACAATTTAATATACTGTTCTGCTATACAGTTCTGCGATACACAATTATGATATATAGTTCTGTTCAGGGGCGTCGCCAATCACATTAATTTTTAAAATTGAAACACT